AGCCTTGTTCGAAGATACAAGAGCAGTGCCCCACCTAAAACCCAGGCCTGCAACTTCCTGGTGGCAAGTCCACCTTCTTGATCACTTTACCACACTACCACTTTGCCCTTTACTGTGTATTTCACCATATGCACCATATGTCAACTTTATATTGTGAAACCAGTTATTATGCTCAAAAGGAGAGGGAACATAAAATGATCATAATAAAATAATTTGATTAACAATATCATGACAAAATGGGCACACTTAAAGAGGGTCTACCAATTAGCATCAGGTAGTAACAGTTATAACATTTTAAAAACATGTTCAAGAAGATCAGTGATAGGTCATGTCCAGGTATTTATATTCATGCCCAATGCTATTTAGTTAATTTCAGAGACAGCTAAATAAAAATGATTGGTAACGTAAATAAAGCACCATACTGATTATAGAAGGGAATCCAGTCTAACCCTTATGGTGTCTTGCCTATGAATCAGTAGCATCTTGGAGTAAATGTGTTATACCTAAGGATTCTCAAAAAGGCTTGAGATGAAAATGGAGGACATGGAGGAAAAATGAAATGGAGGAAAGTGGAGGACTTGCTTAGAATTGTTACTCAAGCATTGCTGAGTTTATAGTGGTTAGATTGAGCTCTGCTCTTGGAGTGCTGTGGTGTGGACATGCTTAGCATTGGAGTGGGATGCTGGAGAATGCCTTTTAGCCAGACACTGTTGGCTGTTTCAGCTGTTTCTCTTGGCTGTGTCAGTGAGAGGAAGTGCAGATATGCAGCCCTAAAGCCAGATGGGTTTGTACAGGTCACCGGCGTGGTAGCATTTTATGTTGCTCTTTCACATGGTCATAATTTCTAGCATATCACCACACACAAGCATTTTTTTGCTCATGGCTAAAGAGAATGTCATTTTTGTAAGGTTAACTTCTGCACAAACTCTCTGGACAGAAAAAAATAGGTTTAGAGGTAATAGAGGTTTATTGTTTGAATCTACTCAAAATAGATCTTCAGAACTTTCTAAAGATCTTCAAGTGCTTTCTAAACCGCAGTGCTATAAATGTACATTTTTTAAAAAACAGGTAAACACTCCTAAGCAATTTCACTGTATGTTACAGTATGTCTTTGTGTATTTACTGGCTGCGTCATGAACAGATGTGTATATATAAAAATATTCTGCACAGTTTAACCTCCTTTAGAAAATATGATTATTCACGGTAAAGATAATTTCAAGGTAGGAAGGATCTAAAAGAAGTATAGCTGCCTCACAGCTCAGACCCGATCTATCTATGTGGATTTTTGCATGTTCCCCTTGTATCTGTGTGGTCTTTCTTTGGTTGCTCCAGTTTCTTTCAAAAGTCTAAAGACATGCTGTCTAGGCTAACTGGCATTTCTAAACTGGCCCTCGCGCACATGCCCTGTGACAGATGGGTGTCCTGCCTTGCACCCCGGGCCTGCTGGACTTGGCTCAGAGCCACCACAGCCCTCTGTGTGCCAACGTGGCCACTGAAAAAAGATGGATGCAGATAATCTCTCCATCCCTCCCCAAGTTGGGTGGCAAGAGATCATGTGACTGTCACAGCACTATAAAACAGTAAAGAGAAAAAGGTAGGTTGCTCCCTCTCTGCTTATCATATGCACATTGTTTGAAGATTGTTTCTGTCAGCACCAGAATAGCAACATCCCAGAAACGCATCGCCATGATTATGGAGTGAGCATGTTTGCCACAGATTGCGTGCTGCTCTAGGTACCCTAATGAGTTTCAGAAATGTAAAACAGCGCAGATGAGAACGGAAATCGACATGTCAGCTTTGAATGACAAGTCCCCAATGCATCCATTAACGGCGTTAGGCAAGCAGGAGAGTCTTATTTGAAGATGTTTCAATCAAGCACTCCTGAGTAAAAAAAAAAAAAAAAACTTAGGAAGTTTGAAACATTTATTTATTTAATTTACTTCTGAAGCCACACGTTAGAGACAAATGGCAAGGGAGAGAAGATAAAAAAAAAAAAAAATCTATACATCTGAGATATTGAATTTAATATTGACCAAACACTGCCCTTTTATGGCTAAATTACATTATTATATACAGCAATGCTATTATGTTGAGGGTTATGTGGCATTCCAGATTTGGTTTAGATATTTTTTGCTTTCGTTGATGGCTTTGGAGTTCCCTGGAGAGCAACCCTGAGAATTGATTTTTGACAATCTATGATCCCCCTCCCACCCCCAAGCCCCCCACCCCCACCAAGTCCCACTTCCCCACTCTTCAACAAATCAAGGTGAAGGCAGCGTCTGACAGTTCTTCACAGTACACTACATATAAACAGCCATTATTTCTTCAGAAAGCACTTTTTGTCTTGCTGAAGGATCAAAGGGAATGCATTTCTCTGAAGGCGGGTTTCAGTTTGAAAGGTGCAGACGGAAACTTTGAGGCAGACGAAAAGGGGGAAAAAGCATTTTTCCTTGGCACAAAGTCTGCAGCCGCCTAAAATGTCAAATCACTTTTTTTTTTCGCCAGAAGATGACAAAGCTGATGAAGGACACTGACTGACCTTATGGAACATTGGCTAATGATTTCACAGTTTTAGCAACGCTCAATGTTCCAGTCGTCAGGCGTACCATTATCAGTTATTTGCCTGACACTAGATATGCTGAATTGGCCTAGTAACATGACTGACATGCATACAGCTGATTGGAAGAATGTGCGAATACCAAATAAGAACATCAGTGTGACTGGCATGTAATGGCTTGGCATCATGCCCCAGGCTCTGCTTGTACAGTACACTAGATATTCCCAAGACCCTGGAGTACCCCAACACACCTTTCATTAGAGAGGGAGGGTTTATCACTGAGGGCACTAGTAGTAGTAGTGATATCTTTATTTTTATTTTCATTGCAACAAAGCAAGAGACCCAAAGAGCATTTGTATTTTAATGGTCATTTATTATTTATCTTGTTAACTATTTTGTATACTGTCTTTCAAAGTGTGGTTCTCACAGAGCGCAGTGCACAGATTTGTTTCTGAGAGTTATGCTCCCATTGGCATCAATATATTATTATTTTGTGTTACACTTTACATTAAGTTGTACTTTACCAATGTAGTTACACTGTAACTAACAATTACAATATAGTTACTATGTAATAACAAGTAGTTACACTTGTTAATATATTTGCAATGTGTAACTGACTTGCTGGATCAATTAGCATTTAACTAACATGTAAAGGCATACAGTTACACTCTTGGTACCAAAGCAGTTGCAATGTAACATCATTGATGTAGTGCAAGTTGTTATCCAGTGTTACCAGATTTTGAAGTCAGTTACAATAGGTATCTGTTGGGTTTTTGGAGAATGACAGTATGTTGGATTTAACAACTGGTCAGGACATAATTTTCAATTTTTTATACTCTATACTTTGTGACAGTCCTGATTGTAAAAACGCCCTATAGCAAATACAGTTTGAATGATTGACTGACACTCTATAGAATTTTTCAAGCAGATTGCTTCTAGTTTAGATTTCATGTTTTTTTTTTTTTGTCCTGGACAGTGAAACAGTATCACTATTTAACTTGCCAATGAACAATGTCGTATATTGTCTCCTCATGGTAACACTCATGGAAAGGCAGTATTTAGTTCAACCATCAAAATAATGTCCTCATTTTATAAATTTATGATTGATGAGTCAGAAATATTAATAATAAAATCAATCAAGGCTGGAGCGAGAAAAGCTAATGATAATAAATTGTTCTTTTAATGTTTGATAGCGGTTGATGGTAAAAATGATGTGTAATCCATAAGGGCATAACAGCAGGTTGGTACATTTTTCAATCACTTGGATTCACAGTAAGTCTTACTTGATGGCCAGAGTAGTAAACTGAAGGGCAGCTCAAGCTGGACAGACAGAAGACATAAAAATTGCAGACGCTAGTCAGCTTTTATATTCTTGACAAAATCATTTGACATCAGGGTGTTTGAAAAATGTGTGCCGCGGTGGCGGCCCTGCTTCCCGAGATCGTGCCTCATAAAGTCAACTGCACACTGGGGTGAAATTCCACTACAGGTTATGGATTTTCCAGGACATCACTGATAGATTGGACTAATATAACCTCAATAAAGAGTTTGAGTTCAACTTTGCAGTAAGAGCCAGCCAGGCGTCAAGCAGAAAAAAAGGAAATTGCTAAGTCATTGTTTTAATTAATTAGAGCAAGTTTAATGTAGAATTTATTCTTGCTGTAGCGATAACATTTTTTATTAGACTTTATGTGAGCTGTTTTTTTTTTAAGGTCTAGTGATGTTGTTGCTGTTATCATTGCGCAAAGTTGTGTTCTTGTACACAACCTATTTTGGACTGGCAATCTGATAAGCAAGGGTTTCTGTAACCTACATGTATGATTGGCTCATTAGTATTGTCTTGAAGCATCTTTGCTTTTGGTTGTTATAACTAATCTGGTGTTGGATATTAATTGTAAGTCATTGTGGAAATACTTCTCATATTAATATAAATTGCATTGTATGATGCACTGTAAAAACTGCAAGATTATGGCCCAACCATACTGATAACTGTAAAAATGATTTTTAACAATATTAATAGCTACCATTGAGACTATAGTTTGTAGTTTGTGTTTTATATAACTCTACTGAGATAGAATACATGTAGAGTACCAATCAGCACATTGATAGAACAAAGTACTGTAAGGGATGTGGTTGACGGCCTCATTGAACAACAAAAAATTTCTGGTGTGACTGCCAGCACACAGTAGATTATTTTTATGAGTTATAGTTGACCTTTACATGATTGCAATTGTTGTAACATACTAATGTCAAAACTAATCAACCTGAGCATTTTTTTTTTCTGAGAATTTCCATTTCTCATAGTAGAATAGCATACTTCCTACTTCCTATAACAGTGTGCACTTTTATTACAGTGCCTTAACATGCACAGCAGTATGGATGCACCATTGTAACACTGCAATTATTTAAAAATTATAAAGAGAGTCCTCCTCTTTGTAAAGGCAGCAGTGTGGTGTAATGGTAACAAGTAAGGCTCGTAACCAAAAAGTTGTTGGTTCAATTTCCCACTGGGGCACTGCCATTGTACCCTTGGGCATAGAGCTTAACCCAAAAGTGTCTCAGTAAAAACAGAGCTGTACAAATGGATAAGATGTAAAATTGTAACCTATGTAAGTCACTCTGGATAAGAACATCAGCTAAATTACAATATTGTAATGTAAATATAAACTACTTAAAATGTTCAACATGACTAAACTAACGATTTCTGAATTTTAAAATGCCTCAAAACACATTTGATTGTTCAGAGTAAAATCTGACCATTCAGTGATGTGTTCACTTGTACCACTGGTATTCAGAGAAGCTTGATCGGCTATTCAAACCCATGCAGACATGCCAGTGAGAGAAGAAACAGGAGTTAATGCAGCACAACACCGCAGTGGTGTTGGCCCCTTAATTTCAAATCAACATTTTGCTCTGTGCCCCTCATTCCGCCTCCTCTGAGCTTTTGACCAATTTTGGAGTTTGTTTATGTAGCTATGTACCTTCTGTGAGTCCTAAGGAGGCCCAGCGCTGGCCAGGAAAAACATATGGCACCGCAACCATGTGAACACCTGCAGAGGGGCCATTGTGGGCAATTCCAGAACCATTATGAATTAAAGCACAATCATGATTACACAAACAAAGCAGGTCAATGTCCTGTGGAAATCACTTTTTCAAAGGTTCCCTCAGGCCGCGGAAGCTGGAATTAAGGTGAGGGCATTTGAGCATCATTTGTGTGTGTGTAGTTGTGTGTGAATGTGTGTGTGTGTGGGAGTGCAGTTTTGTGCATGTCACTTTCAGTGTAATTGTGTACGTTTGTCCATATATACATGCATACACCTTGCATTAAAATCAGATTTCCAATACCATATGGAATAGCTCTGTAGAGAAGGATGCTGGGTAATAAATATTCAATTGGGTACATGCCTGTATGCGGTAAGAAGACCTGCCATTTTGAACAAAACCTGCGGCATCCAGGAAACATCTCAGCGGAGTTCTCCAAGTTGGGACGCAAAGTCAACAGATAATTTTGCTCAAGACTACTTTCCAAATAACTAGGGATGATGGTCATGATAAATCTGAAAAAGAGCTGATTTCCATGGAGACAATCATAATTACATTATCATGCGCTACCACCCAAACGTACTTATACTGTACAGAGAGATCCATTGGGAAAGAAGGAAAAAAATGAAGCCATACTTTGTCCTTAGTCTCCACTTTCTACACAAGTCAAAGCACAACTATTATAATTGATACCCCAGCTAAAACTCCATTATATATCCCATTATGAGAATTCACTTTGCATTTCTGAGACCCCATAAATGCAATCTGCTTGTATGTGCCGCCATTTTTTTCCCTGCCTACTTAGCTGTATAAATAATGCAGCGTGGACGTAATGCATTCTACATGGAAATGCGGCAATCCCACAATCCCTGAAGGTGCAGGTGTGCTCCGGAGCTGAAAATTAAACCATTATTTGCAAATCTCTTCTCAGTGGCGGCGGAAGGTGGTCTCTCCCAGATGAACTGAGGGGCAAGTCAGATAAACAATCGCAACAGAGCCAAACCCTTCTCCTCGCACGTAAAATGGCAGCTGATGTCTTGGCTTTGGAGAAGCCTCTGACTTAACCACCTTGTTTTGTTTGAGTGATGAGTACTCTTAGTGCTGTTTGAGGTTGGCCAGGCAGTTTACCTGTACCCTGTCACTGCTCTGAACAAAAACTCCTGAGTATATATTGACTTGGTCATTTATGCTATGATATTGGCAGTGTTTTTAGGTCAGTGTTAAGGCTTTGACAAGACTTTAGTTCAACATGCTGTCTTCTGTGGCTTTGGGGAATTTGAAATATGTCTAAAATGGCACTTAATCAACCACCCATAAAAAAGGTTTAACAATTCTCAATAAATAGCAGGCCTCGCACAAAGCTCAGCCTCGGCCAAACAATAACCAGTATATGCTAATTGGCCATTCACTGCCCATTGTGTAACCAGCTATCTTTATGGGAATGTAATTGGCAAGAACATTAGCCTGTGCCTGTGCTCTTTCTATAAGAAGCTAGCACAGATTGAGGAAGTGCCTAATAAATTAAACTTTGTTAATGCCAACATAAATCTCACCAAAAACACTCAGCGGCAGCTCAAAGGCAGAGGCTTTGATGGAATAATTATTAGCAGCACCTGCCAGCTGAACATAATTCAATACTCTGACTATAGCATTGTTTTAGACACAGTTTAGCTCCTGCTGTCACAGTTTTTGAGAATTCCTATGAGCAGTGTTATTTTTAAAAGAACATATTTTTTGTCAGAGTATTCATCTCGTATCAAATGGAAGATTATTTCACACTTCTACTCAGCGAAATCCACTGTAATGAAGCATTTTGTTATTTTATCACATTTTCATTGAGAGACAAAAGGAAACGACCGCATCGCGCTTTTTTTTTTCTGTTCCTCCGGCTGACGACGGCAAGCGGCTGCCAGTACCCCTGGTTTCTTGTGATGTGTGGTGAGAGGAGCGTAAGCCAGCTGGCTGAGGCCCTCTCAGGTAAGGGGATCGCATTACCGTGGGCCTCTGTGTGGCGGCTGATCAGACGCTCAGGAGTGCTGCGGGATGATTAGAAACGCGTTGCTATTTCACTTGATTACTCACCACCAGCGCCTGTTCCGAGCCCCATCTCAAATCGCAAATATGTCCTCAGCTGAACAGATGCCCCCCTCCCACCCCCTCCCCTCCCTCCACCCACCGAATAAAAAACAGTAAAATAAAAATACATTACAGAGTAGAAAGCTATACATGGGTATAGGAAACTACCCCCACAGGCTTTGTCTTGTTTATTTATGTGGGGGTGGCAGTAAGTAAAGTAGTTGGGGAAATGGGCTTATAAACAGCACAGGTTGTATTTTGAAAATCCTGTCTCATACCCTTCAGCAAGGTGCTTAACCGGATCTGCATTAGTAAATATCCAGCTGTATAAATTGATAGAACATAAAAAAATGGGTATGCCACTACAGAAAAAAAAAATGTTAGCGGCCAAAATGAATAACTAAATAACAGTTTTGGTTGCTGTGTAATTAATAATGTAAACCCTGCTCACACCTGTACTTGAGTGGACATGCCAGCTACATCAGGCATTTGTCACGAGGCCCGTTCCTCTGGCAGCAGCGATCTCAGGAGGTAAGCAGCGTCCGCTTTGCTCCCGAGGAACACCTTGGTCAGTAAGTCACAGGGACAGGTTTTTTTTTTTCATTAAAGATTTTTCAGGCTTGTTTGGGAAGAGGAGCTAAACAGATGCGCACGCTGACTTTACACCTAAGAGACATATGGGTGAGTCACAAGGTGACATTAATAACCACGCAGCTCCGCAGTGCACCCCGCGACACGTCCCGCTTGCTCCAGTTGTCCGAACCGTCTGCTAGCGAGTGTAAAGCGCTGTTGGCGGGGGGAACGGGGGGCCCCTCCGGAGGGGCGGGGAGGACAGCAGGCGAGTCAGGCTGCGTATTAAACATTCATGAAAGCTCGGAGCGTGCCGCCGTGGCTGTCAGGTTTAGATTGTTCCGGGGGGGCGTGGGGGGCCAGGCGTGAGCAAACGGCGGCTGCTGCTGCTGATGCCCCCAATGCTCAGGAAAGCTTCCTGAGATTAGCAGCTCGGAGACCATGCGTACGCGTCACCTGCCGGCGTTGTCAGACCGTTAGCGTTAGCCCACATCTAACCTCAATGCACTTTTTCAGTAGTATTCACTTATAAATTCACACTCTTTTTCAAATTATTAACTCCTGGGTTTAGTGTAAATATACTTTGTCCTTCATTTACAACTTTATAGAATATTTTAAGTTTTTTTTTTTTATTTTTATTAAAACATTTTAGCTCATCCTACTATATAAGAACCACACTAACACTAATAGTGGGTCCTTTTTTTCGAATAGTGACCTTGATATGTATTTAGGTATTTAAAATGCTATTTTAATGTTACACATCGTTCATACATCATTTCAAGAACCTGACATTTGTAATTTTTTGTGCTATCATGTGTGATTTTATATGTAGTCCACCTGTGCTTGCAATACCAATGAAAAATATCATGTAACTAACCTGGATATTGTGCATTGCATGAGATGTGAATGTTTTTAATTACACACTGTACCCTGCTAAATAAATTTAACTAACCAAATGTGTCCCTCTTAGTAAAAGGGGAAAGCTCATTGGTCAGATTGAATCTGGGCCATAGTCTCAGCTTTCTCTTGCTCTGAAGTGTATATGTTTAACGAGACTGAAAGACACTTGGCTTGACTCATTTTTGAAGAGAGGCAAGCTCACTTTCTACCGTGGCTGCCTATTACCACAGCATAAAAGAGTTAAGGAGAGAACTTACTTAGATTTTTACAAACTAATCCTCATGCCAGGAATGAATTCCAGCAATTGATGGAGCATACCTTTCTCACTAAGTGCTCTTTCTTGGAGTGCAATCAACTGGATCTTGATTAACAATTGTAATCAATCCAGCCTTTTTCTTCAGCCAGGCACAGAGAGAGTCGTTCCTCTGGCTGGTGAATATCTGGGCAAATCACTGCAGTCTCCCACTGCGGCAAAGCTGACGAATTTCCATTACACTGGGTGACTGCTAGAAGTGTTGGGTCAGACGTGAAGACAAGCAAACAAAAAGGGAATATTCCGTACAAAAGACACCGTAAACGGCCATTTAAAACCATCTTTAAAATCTTTAATCTTTATTTAAATATGTGTACGTATGTGTAATTAATTTGGTCTATTTTTGTTGTCCTTGTTATTGTTAATTAGTTTGTTAATTACACCAGCATGCCTTCCTGCATATTTGGACATACAATCTTGTATGATTCGATACATTAAAAAGAGTAGGTCCTGCAATCTGTATGACTACATTTAAAATACTGCCTGCAATAGAGAAAATAATTAGTGGTCTACTTGATGCAATCCATAAAGCAATTAGGATAATAAGGGCTTTTCGTATTGCTTTTTGAGTATTAATCAGAGCTGTGGTACATGTCCTTTTTAGTGAATTAC